TTATTTTTTCACTTTTGAGTGATGGCAGGCGTTTTGATAGTTGTCATTAGTCCTTTAGCTGACTTCAGGCTTCACAGAGGGGAAGGAATATCAAAGTGAAAAAGTCGAGAGGGGGGGGGGGTACAGGAGAATGTTTCAAAGATTTAAAGGAGACAGACACAAAGGTAGAGAAAAGGTTAGATGAGTACTTTGGAAGGGGTCGAATATGACATACAGTGGGGTGATGGTAGTTTGAAGTGAGAAGTCAACTGCCGGTTCGTAGACTTTTTTGCCCTATGAGTATACGTTGCCCAAGGTGCACCACTTGGAGGTAAGTCCATCGCACACCCCCCCCCCATAGTTGATCATTAAAACTATTGAATGTTCATTGATGGGTTTAAATTTCTTGAACTCTGTCATTGTCAATGTTCATAGAGTATATTTAGGGAGAATCGGCATATTCAATTCAATTTAATCGGCCTCAAGAAACCTACCTTTACCCTAATAAAATGCTGTGAACACTTCTCTCCGCGTTGATGGGGCTTTAACCAAATTCTATTTGCCTCTGGGTAAGAAATCCCAATGAGGAACCGTTCATTTATAAATCAGAAATCTTCCAATTTCATATTTTACAGCCGACATAAGTGTTAATTGTATTGAAAAAATATATTACCTTTCATTTTATGACCTAGATACGAACATAAATTGATATATTTCGTTTTGAAGAGACAAAGGAAGAAACGTTATACATTATACTTATACGTCAGCAAATGGTTGTGGATTTGTCAACTGCGTTAGACAGACGTCACTATTTCCAACGATGAATGATCATTCAGGGGGTCAAAATTTCCAAAATCGAAGTAGATTTACCATCAAATTTACATCATAGAATATTTAGCCTGTTGAGATAGAAGACTGATTTCATTTTTCTTGGGTGTGAACTATGTATAACTTCGACTTCAAAGTGTTTGATACGTTAAAGAAGTGAACTCAGGAAGGCAAAACAATATTGTGTGCGACCAGTAGTAGACTTAACAGTTTCCACGTGAAATAAGATAAAATCAATCATTATAAAGTAGCGAGACTCTGGGTGATTGCAATACTGAAGTTAAGGTCAAGAACCGAAAATATTGGCCTAAGGTGTTGATAACTTCGACTACTAGTAATAATAATAATAATAATAATAATAATATGGCAGAGAAGATCAACTTAAGATTACCTCAAGAAGTTAAATAAATAAGCACTTCCTCCTGTTCAGCATTGAGCTCTAATACAAGTTCAATGGTATTTTTACAAGAAATCGGAATTCCTTTTAGCTTCTACTCAATATATCAAGATTAGTCTCGTACTTATTGGTTTATTGATTGTTAAGTAAAAGAATTTTGCTAGCACCTATTCACTCATTGTTCCTTATCATTTAGACCACAACTGGAGAGCCAATAGTAGTCTGGCTTTCAGGTCTTCATGTTCCAGAGTCCTACCTCTCTGCCGTTGTACAGTCCGTATGTCGGCGTAACGCCTGGCCATTAGATAAGAGTGCTATGGTTACTAGTGTGACAGACTACACAGATCCGGACAAGGTGGAAGATCGTAACTCTTCTGGTTGTCTTCTAGACGGCCTGTTTCTTGAAGGAGCAGCTTGGAGCCTGAAAGACCGTCGATTGTGTCTACAAGATCCAAGAAAACTCATCCAACCACTCCCGCTACTAAGTGTTCAAGTGATAGAGAGCAGACGTGTCAAGAAACAGAATGAGACCCTGAAAACCCCTGTTTATGTGACTTCCGCAAGGGCTTTAGCTGATAGTGGGTCCAAATCAGGATCCGGGCTAGTTTTTGAGGCTGATTTGAGAATCGATGAGGAACGAGACGCTAGTCACTGGATTCTCCAAGGTGTTTGTCTTATTCTCAATGATGATTGAATACTTTTACTTCTTACAACTCGTAATACCCTGTATTTAGATAGATAAATTATGTTCTATTAACACCAATAAAATGGTTTCAATTTAAATATTCACTAAAAGGTGTATTTCCTCCTCGTTTTGTCTTAAATAAAGAGATCCTAAATAAAAAATGTGGCTATTGTTCTACAGACTCGCTTTATTTGTAAATACAAAACAAATTGGATTTTCAACCAAAACCCAATCGAAAAGTGATTTATAATTTAGCCACAGATTTTGTCTCTTTAATATCGCCAGACTTCATTTTCATGGTACTCATGTGTGACCATTCGTTCAAAACGAGTCACCGCATGGAAAACCCAGTGAACATGGTGATTCCCAAGTAATTCAGACAGAGATATTCCAACATATGAAATGTGTGCCTTGGATTCTCCTTGGAATTACCTATACATTATGTTAGAAACTGTGAAAAGACCAGCATGAAAAATAGATATCATGAGTTGATCTTACTGGAGTACCGACAACTCAATCATTCATTTATACCAAAGGGCAAGCGTTTTGATAGTTATCATAAGCCCTTTAGTTGACTTCAGGCTTCACAGGGGGGAAGGAGTATCAAAGTGAAAAAGGTCGGAAGGGGGGCAGAATAATGAATCACAGACGTAAAAGAGACAGACAGACACAAAGGTAGAGAAAAGGTAAGATGAGTACTGTGGAAGTAGTCGAATATGACTAAAGTGAGGGTGATGGTAGTTTGAAGTCAGATGTCAACTGCCTGTTAATAGACTTTTTCGCCGTACGAATATACGTTGCCCAGGGTGTACCACGTGGAGGTAAGTCTATCGCACACCCCACAACTCAATCATAAAATAATTGCATTTACTACCATAGATATCAAAGGAGGACTAATTTGATCCCTATTTTTACATCAACACGACTCACCTTCATCCATGGTAAATGCTAAGGGAAGATGACTAATCAAGGACAAATCGAATTCATTTGCTCAGGTAAAACATAAAACAAAGTAATTACTTGATGGTGCATGCACTCGGCCACGCCATCGCCACCTTAGCTGTGATGGTTTAAATAAACACACATTCCAGCG